AAGGGCTGATGTTCAGCCGGGGTTGCGGGGTAAGCGCAATGAGGTACCGCGACCTCGGCACAGAGCAGGAGAAGGAACAGGGGGTTTTTAGTCAGTAAGAGTCTGACACTCCCTCCTGCCCGGCCCTGGGCGGGAGAAGTCATTTGATGATGTTCCCCTCACAAAAAAAAAAGCATGGTTTTACGCCGGTATTTTATGAAGTAGTGGATAGCTTCATATCTATCTTACCAAATGAATGTATAAAGCTTTTGCATTTCTACCTACACCTATTCAAGATCAGCACTGTAGACTTGAGCCATCGTGCCTGGACCACAGTATTAGGCTAAACACTGGCCATGTCTACTTGTATGACATGCAAAAAAACCGATTTAAAAAGAAAGAGAAACTTTGCTCCACTTTTGGACTTGTCCTGTATCGTGGATGCGTTTAACGGAACCGCAAAACATTTTTTTGTATTACACAAAGTATGACAGCCGTACAGTTCTTTCATATTATGATAAATAAAAAAGCACGACACGCCTATTACATACAAAGACATTAACAGGTGCGTATAACTATAAAAATCTTTTCGCCACTTAGATAAAGTAAATGCAATCTAACGCCAGTAACAAAACAATGGAGATACACTCGCAATTTCCCACACAAAACGAAGGACAGGACACGACAGACGCAAATGTTTAAAAATCCTTGCATTGTGGGTTTTTTTCTACGGTTTAAACTTTAACTAATCAGAAATGAAGTACGGGAATTGGTTGTTATTTATGGGTTTTTTTTGTGAAGGGAAAATCATCACTTTCTCCCGCCCAGGGCCGGTCGGGAGGGAGTGTCAGACTCTTACTGACTAAAAACTCTCCTGTTCCTTCTCCTGCTCTGGGTCGAGGTCGCGGTGCCTCATTGCGCTTACCCCGCAACTCCAACTGAACATCAGCCCTATAGGGCCCCGTCTGTGGTGGTCTATTGGCTCTTTGAGGCGCGCGCGGAACGCTACGCGCCGAACGCTCGGGCCTGGTTCTGGTCGGGCGGCGAGCTGGCCTTACTCGCGAACCGCAGACCCGCGCTTACGGTGGCCGGAGATCATCTCTCGTATTTATGAGAGTATCATATGAACAGACAGACGAAGTAACCTGAAGCGAGATAAGCGTTTGACATTGCCAAAGAAGTTCCAAGGTTAAAAGTGAGTTAGCCCGACTTTTTGGAGTACAGAGACGCCTGGAGCAGTAGAAGGAACGGGGATTTTTAGTCAGTAAGAGTCTGACCACACCCTGATTGACAGAAGTCATTTGAAGATTTTCTGCTATCAAAAAAAGGACTCTGGTAATTTCGCTTCAATAACGCAAGCGATGTTTCACGCCGGTTCCCTTTGAGGTCGTGGTGTTACTCCAATCGAGTCGAAGGCTAGCTTGCAAACTAAGAATACTTGTAATATGCTATTTTTAATATGTATAACTTCTGGTCACACAAGTAAACATAAAAGAAAGACGCATTAACTACACCGCAGTATTATGTATGCCTCTTTATCTTTTCAACGCCATTGGCCACTAGCCAACATTGTTTACTTTTCCTCTATAAAGGCTGTATACTGATTCCTTAGGCAGTTTGTTAGATGCCTTGGACTGTCTGAACAATAGATATGTTTGTCTATGGCAAATAGTTGTTAGGCAATATTAAGCTTTAAACTGAAGGCATAAAGACGAAAACCGATCAACGATTATTGTTTGGCGGGCTAAAGTTGACAGATTTATATTTTTTTTATTTATATGTTTTTGTTGTTTAAATAACTTTGTTACATTTTCATGAAAATCAAACGTAATATTATGCCTGGTATTCCTAAAAGGAATAAGAAAAGATTTTACGATTTATTCCTGGATATATTCTACCAATTATGTAATTAAACCGATTGTAATAACGTCTAAGTTTTCCTTGCAATGACTAAAGTTTCGAAAATGGAAACGGAGACATTTTTGACGAGCCTGAGACTTGGTAAACTACAACCGCACTAGAAAACACATTACATATATAGATTATAAATTTTAAGTGTGGGAGAGCCATGCTTTAGCACTAATGAGTCGGCTCGACCGGAGTGATACCACGGCGTCACAGAAAACCGGCGTGAAACAACCACAGCGTTGTGTTTCGCCATGTTAGTGAGGTTGCCTGAGGCCCAAAGTTTGCCCTCCCCCGATCCCTTAATCTCCAAACCCTAATCCCTAAGAGGTCGGCAACGCACTCGTAACTCCTCCGTTGCGGGCCATGGGTCCATGGGCGGCGCTGATTGCTTACCATCAGGTAATCGCTCGTTTATCGATCTTTTACATAAAGAAAAATATAAAAGTTCATTACAGGTAAATAAGTAGTACATACCTATGCATTACATAATTTACTGCATATAACTTTTGTTCTAAACTACAACCAAACTATGCGAGTTCAATGACCTGACCTAGTATATATTAAGTATTACACTTAGGGCTGATTTTTTAATGGTTAGATAAAAGTGGAATAGTTATGATGCTGTCGCGTCAAAATGTTTGTGTTAGACAGTGACAGCAACAATTTTATTCCAAAGATAAGATTTATCTGACTCTTGATCAGACCTTAGTCAAGTGTCACTTAGAAAACCTCCATTACTTTCAATTCCGGACTCTTATTCTTTTTTGCCCATGTCTTTTATAAACTATCTATATAAAAGAAAGTCGCGTTAGTTACCCCACTTATAACTCAAGAATGGCTGAACCGATTTAGCTGAAAATTGGCAGGGAGGTAGATTAGACTCAGGAGAAGGACATAGGATAGGATAGAGTAGGTAGTGTAGGTTAGGTAGAATAGGGTAGGTAGAGTATGGTAGGGTAGGCAGAGTATGGTAGGGTAGGTAGAGTATGGTAGGGTAAGTAGAGTACGGTAGGTAGTCAAATGACGGGAGCGACGCCGCGGGTAAGAGCTAGTTAATTAATAAATTGTTAGGCTATTATAGTGTTTCATCATGCAAGTTATTTTAGCCGAGGCCCTAACCTTAATACATTTTTGCATAGAGTTTAAGTTGATAATACTGTTTTAATATAAACATTAACATTATTTCCTATTCTTTAAGAGCAATTATGTACCTACTTATGTTGATTTACCAACCCTCGCCTCAAAAACAGTTCACAGATTTCCAAGTCCAGGCACAAAATATTCTGAACTAACTGTAGGTTTCAGCAAAAGAGTATGCCTCATCTAGATTAATTATGTATTACTAAATAAATTTTTATTAATTTTATTATTTATTTCATCCAATTCTCAAGTTCCTAACATCCTACACCAGTTAAGATGGCGCCACATGCTTACCATCAGTCATTCCATTTGCACATTTGCCAATTATCACATAAAAAAACAGACATGCAACCACTGAGCCCTCTCTATGTGCAAAATCATGTAGTAAGCCTATCTATACCAGAACAGTTCTTACTTTATGATCATACACTACACTACCCATGGCCAAGTTTCCAAGTTGTCTGGAAAAAATCACCTTGTGTGATAAGACCACCCATTGTAATCACAACATTCATTCATAGTATCCAATGTATTGCTACTTGGTGTGTGTGTGCAATAAAGTACATACATATAAATAAATACTATAGAGAACCATAAAAATTATACTTACTTGAATATAGATTAGGTCATAACTACAAGATACTTGATAAACAAAACATTATCAATACTAAAATAAAATTATCAACCTAATAACAACTTTTAACAAAAATAAACAAACTGACACAAATTACTTATCAAAAATTTCATTACATCACTCATTTTCAGTAAAGAATCACATCTGAGTAATAATATTGTTGATTCAGGTCATGGTTTTTTGTTAGGCAAAATTTCATCCAGATCTATACAGCTGTTTATGAGTCACAGAATTTATAATGCTAATAGGATTCTAATACAATGGAAGGATTAGAATAGTTATTGTGATTAAGTCCTGATGTCGACAAACAGTATAATATTTCAAAATCTCAACTTTAATTATTAGTATCACTGATACCATGTTTAATCACATATAAAAAGCAGCTCAATTTTGTACTAATTACAAGGAATTCTAATCAAACCTTGCGAATGTTACAAAACTTTTTGTTGTGTATAAAAAAAGTCTATTGTTGATGTAATTGACTTTAAAATACAGGTTCTAGTAAAATTCCATGTTTTAATGTTTTTGTTGGAAGGATTCAATTTTTTTAAAAGGATTTTTTAAAGGGGTTGGTTTTGCAGTTCATATTAAAAGTGTTTTTGTTTTTATTTTGTATTATTACACTTTAAAACTTAACTAAGAGTGGTGTATATTTAATTATTAATTAACATCTTTGAAACCCTCAAAGTAAAGCAAAGATCTCTTTGCCAGGTATGTTATGACACTTCTGGTATTAAGGGATGGATTTTATTGCCATACTTATTAAACTGGAGACAATTTCAGACACCAGGAAGTTAAAAAAAACTATACTGTATGTTGTGTAATTGTTAAAAAAAATATTCGAAGAGAAATTAATTTTTCAGCCTAAAAAAGGGTTTGTATTAAGAATATTATTTTATCAGACTCAGACCCATCATATCAAGAAAATTTCCTACTAGCATGTGATTGTTTATGGTTTTAGATTAAAAAAACAAATCTGGCAGTGATGTAACACAATTTTATCTCTAGTACAGATACCATTAAAAACAAATTTCGCTCTGACATAACCCAGAAAGTGCTTGACATATTTTGATGATTTCAACATAACTATGTGAAGAATATAGCATTCATATTTAACAAATTTTATGTGCTGTAAATGTAAATCTAACAAAGAGTATATTATACACACAATAGTGTTACTATGCAAGTTCTCATCGAGTAATTTTTAATGAATCTTGCACGCTAATTACTTTAATACATTTGGCCAATCTCTACCCAAACTTTCTCCACATTATTTCAATGTTTCCACGCAGTTATGAATGAAATAGTCACTATTATAACAAATTAATCTATTACTTACATCGTACGGTACATTTTTCTCAGCGATTGAGCTCTTGTCTCGATCTGTAAAGAAGAAAATGGGCCGATGAGCTTTGTAAAAATCGTCCTCGTTGTCAACGTTATTATCTTGTTACAAAGGGATTACAACAATGGAATGCGTTCTTGTATTATTGGATTTAACAATGTACTACCATCTTCTTCCGCGCCCGAAGGTCCAGTTGCGATATCAGACTTTTTAGTAGCCGAAGATTCCATCACTTCTATATGATCAGTATCTCCTGAAGCCATTTTTATTTTTCTGTTACATCCCCTATTTTGAAGTCTTTCCGTTGTATATTTGCACAATATTAAATCGCATGGCTCACATCACACTTGCATTGCTTACACAATGATTCACTATAATTTAATTAGAAGAAATCAATTAGTTTACGCGAAAATGCTCGCCCGAAGCATCCGTCTGACACGACCACTCATAGTAACTGGGTTGCAAATTAAAATATTAATACTTTTGCGTATAGACAATAGACTCGAGTGGGTGGATGGGGTTGTTGTAGCGGTAAGACGGCGTTTGTGTATTCATGAATGAAACCAAAGCGAACGATAGGTAAATAGAAAAGTATGAGTTAAATTTACTTATAAACTATAAAAAAATAACAGTAAAACTTCTCAAGTTATGCTACATTAAGAAAAAATACATTAGATATTGCATTCACTGTTAATCAAAAACAGTATGATAAAATTAATGTTACGAATTCTAATACCAAGGAATTTATTACTTTCGTATGAAAGAATTCTAAACATTTTGTTTTTAATAAACGTGGAAATATTTTAGGACAATGCAGAAAAGCAAGGATAAGAAGCTTTGAAAGAAATCAATTTAACCGTTTGGAGTTTATAAACGTAATGTTTGTGTATTTTTTTATTATATTTAATAACTTTTAAAACGACCAAAGCCGTAAACGAAGTATATTAGAGTTAGTTTAAAAGTGCAACTCTAGTCCTTTTATATATTCATCATTCATCAACATCCATTATTTATTAATCATAAAACTATCATATTGTGAAAAAACTTAAATCTTGAAAAAAATGCTTTCTAAACTTGACGATTTTGCTGAATTTAATCGATTTTTTACTTTCCCAGTTTATGGAAAGCTTAAAACTAAATTCTACCGTAGGTTTTGATTATTTTAATATGGGAACACCATTGTGAATAAACGCCATGTTTATTTCTTTACCGTCAATTCGTTGCCGCGGTAAGAATTCTTATAGGTTATTACTTATCTTGGCGTCTAAATGAATAATGTTATTAATAACATATAAATCATAACAATTAAGCTGCTAAATAAGTAAAATTCTCCAGTGCAATAACGTTTCGTTTTCAGTTTCTGTGAAAAGGCTGTGAGCAGTCGGAAATATCGGAATACATTAGATACTGCAGCGGCGTTCGTAGAAAATGGGCAAAAAAGTAAGAGAATACCAAGCTGGGGACTTTATCTTCGCTAAAGTAAAAGGCTACCCAGCATGGCCTGCCAGGGTGAGTGTGATAGACAAGTGATTCTGTTGTCATTGTATGTTAAAATGGGAAATCTGTCCCCTTTGTGTTCTGATTGGATGTAAGCGCGGGAAGACATGTTGTATCGCGGCCCCGACGCCTTCGCAGTGCCCCAAGGCCTCAGAAAGCAAATAATGTCGTTATTATCCACATAATTAACATTTTTGATATTGACATAGCTACTGTTCATAAAAGCTGATAACAGTGTTTTACTTAAACACCAAGCTTCTGATTATTATAACTGTTTTTATTAATCACGGGGTTATTTAAGCGCTCTAATCGCGTTTCCCGTGTTTATTAATGAATTCTACACTCAAATAACAACAGATAATACAATATTTTGTCATTAATTCCCAGGGGTGAATGACATTTTAATACTTATCTATTAATCATGTTATATTTTTTTGCTGTTTTTATAGCATATTGTGTGGTATAACTTTAGTTATTAGGTTTTATATAACCTGGCAAAAGTATTACTTTAAACTAGTTTCAATAAATAACATAAAAAAAATGTAATTAATAAATATTGATCTGATAAGTGTTATCTATCTGTCAGTGTAAAGAGTATATCCTCTTTGGTTAATTTTTGTATGTTTTATTGAATTGAGAAAGTTTTATAATTTAACTATCTAACAGATAATTTGTTCATTTTAGTTACTTTTTAATTAATTATCTTTTTTCTTACTTAGTAAGTTTTAGGTTTTGTCTGCTTCGCTTTGATTTAATAATTAGTAGACAATGCACATACAGACAGTCTTAATTTAATCTACCATTAGTCTACTAATAGTACAAAACCTTTGTGCATTTTGAATATATAAATTACATTCAAGAGAATCTTATTTATTAAGAACATATTAGTAACTTTATATCTTTTATATTAATTAAATTATGTATACTTTAATGCACACATTATAGGTTTTTTTATGTTTGTTTATAAAAAAGGTTTTAATCGCAGGGTGATTATGTACTAAGGCATATAACTTAGACTTAATGCCATAATATGGCATTCTCTGCCAACCAACCCCAAACCAAGAATTTGTCTGGTTTTGATCCACTTTTTTTTAAACATTGTTTTTTTGCATGTTAATGGATTACATGCAAAAAAGGCTAGGTAGGCTACACATTAATGGGGGATTTCAATGAAGGTGGGAAAACATGTGCTTTATGTAATTGTAAAATCTATAAACATATAGAAGTTATAATTCTTCCATTTGTTTTAAAATACATTTAAAAATAATTTTATAGTTTAGGTTTTATGTAATCGCTAATTATGTATGAGGAATAAATTAAGTTTTTGTTGTTATATCATTGAATTTACAATTTTATAATTATGACAATTTTTAATGCTTGGAACAACTCCTTTATCGTCATCAAGAAATGTAATGTGTATAAGAGATTTTTTTTGTAAACATAGTACTCAAAACACAGTTTAAGATTATAGATAGGTCTAACATTTAGAAACTGTCCAATCATCTTCGTTGTTATATAAAGGTGTGAGCAATTAAAAAAAAACAACAAATATTTTTTGTTTGTTTCAGGTGCATAAGCCCAATGGAAAGAAATATTTAGTATATTTCTATGGCACAGGAGAAACGTAAGTGTAGTACTGATTATCATGTTTATACTCAAAACAATATTTTAATATTTTTTTATCAGTTCACAATAGTGTTATACTTTTTGGTGATAGTGCAGCAGCGAATTGATTGAGGATCATGGTAAGCAATCGGAGCTGTCCATTGCCACCCCATGGACACGGCAACACTATTTGTGCTCTATGAGGAGCTTCGGATTTAAATGGTTGGGAAAATTTTGTGCCATTGCAACAATGTCTTACTGTAAGCCTCCGGTAACCTTATTCATACTGTGGAACACCATCAACCTTTTTTATAACAAAATTCGCATAAAAAGATATCTTTATAACTTTTAACACTTAAACTTATCTGTTTTCAGTGCAAATCTCTCGCCAAACATGATATTTGACTACGCAGAGAACAAAGACAAGTTTTTGACAAAAACTGTGAAGCGAAGGGACTTCAACGATGGTGTGAAGCAGATTGAACATGATTTTGCGAACAATGTACCATTGGAACAAGTTATCGGAATTGGTGCTGAGGTAATACAGATCACAAATATATAAATAACACTCATATTTTTATTTCATCACACATATTAAATTATATCTTAGTTACAGTAAGATATATAGAGCTGTAATATAGTTATATTCCTAGTATATATAATTATATACTGTAACATAGTAATATAAGAAAGTGATTTATTATGATCTGACTAGGAATACAAACTGTCCATGTTCACCCAATAATATTATTGAAGTAAAATATCATTTTAAATCATCATTCAAGCCTTAAACTGTTATAAATAAATGGATTCTTTCTCTTTTTTCAAATTTATTAATGTATTAATTTTTCCCCTTTTTTTTCAGGTACCACCAGCAGATTCGTCGACTATGGAAGCGAATGACTCTGTTGCGAACGACACTTTGGACGAAACTGGCAATGACACCACTGCTGCTGATGAAACTATGGCTGATGAAGTAAGTAAAATAAATTACTTATTTTTCTTTTTTATTCAATTTAGGGCAGATTTTACAATAGGCAGACAAAAGTTATTTGGGGTATAATTATGATGCTGTCGCGTCAGAATGTTTGTATAAGACAGTGACAGCAACAATTTCATTCCTCAGATAACATTTATCTGACTATTGAAAAATCAGACCTTAATAAATAAAATGTAAGAAACAAAATGCTTAAAAAAATAGACATATAAATGTATGTTTTATGGTCGAAAATGTGTGTATAAAAAGCAGTAGGTTTAACCAAATGAGATGTACAAGTATTACTTTTACAATTTTTTTTTTTCTCCATGAACTATTTACATTATTGACACTAATAAATATTTTTTTTATTGATATTTTGAATAGCTTTCTGCTAGCACCCAAATTAAAGGAAGTTCTCAGCTAAATATATCTATCTAGTCATGTATTCAAACATTTTCTTTCTTTTCCAGCCAACCCTGAACACAACTCAAAATGACGCAGCAGTAGAAGATTCAGATGACACAGGCAACCTGGTCATTGATGAAGGCAAGGTGTGTGCTTTAACTTCATTAATTTAAATTATAATTTTAAAAGCTTAAGTGCGAGAGAGCCGGATTGCCGTAATGAAACGAATAGGTCGGCTCGACCGGATTGATACCACGGCCTCACAGAAAACTGGCGTGAAACAACTATAGCGTTGTGTTTCGCCGTGTGAGCTAGGGAAGCGATATCCCTAATTTCTAAATCTCCAAATGCCTAATCCCTAAAAGGTTGGCAAAGCACTGGTAACGCTGTGGTGGTAGTCCACTAGCGCCGCAATCAGCGCCGCTTATGGACACCTGCGACAATAAAGGAGTTACGAGCCTTTTAGGGATGAGGGATTCGGATATTTAAGGATTGGTAAGAGATGTGGGGAGAGGAAAAATCAGGCCTCCGGTAACCTCACTCACACGGCGAAATACAACGCTGTGGTTGTTGCACGCTGGTTTTCTGTTAGGCCGAAGATTGGCTCTCCCACACTTAATACTACACTAGACGATAATAACATAATTTTATTGTAATGTGTAACCATTTTATGTCTCAATAAAGTAAAATAAAATAATCATTTTACAGCAAAAACAACAAACTACAAAAAAAGCGAAACCAGACACCAAAGCAAAGGAGACTCCGGCAAAACCAGCGAAGGAGCCAAAGACTCCTCGGGGCAAAGGGAAGAAAGATGAGCCAGCTAAGGACGATGATGAGGAGAAGAAAGAGGAAGAAATTGTCAGCAGAAGTGGTCGAAAGATACGACCGAAAAGGTAAGAAATAATTTTTTTAACACACTTTCTCATAAAGTGGTTCATATCCCACGGCACTTAGGCACGTAAACACCTATTATCAATATGACTTTTTTATTACTATTAGTCACTAGACTAGAACTTTTAAATTATTGGTTGAGTTTCTCTTACACTTGCGCTAAAATGCTGTCAGCGAAAAGCTCAAAAAACACCAGGAGTATAAGTAGTATAAGTGCATTGCCGGTCTTTTTAGGATTATGGGTTTTAGAGAATTTAGGGAAAGTTAAGTATTAGACATCCGGCAAACATACTTATACGACGAAACAAAACATTGTAGTTGTTTCACGCCGGTTTTTTTGTGGGGCCGTGGTATCATTATGGTCAAGCCGGCCTATTTACACTTATATTTTATTGTTATAAAAGATGGTTCTTTTAAAAAAGGGGAAGATGAGTAGAGTAAAGTGGGATAAACAGACAGACAGAGAAACTAGTTAATAATATTAGTTGGTTTTGGATTATTCACAATAAAAGTTTACACATATTGTTAAAACATCAATTTGTGTCGTCCATTAATCCATATAATAAAATCGTCACTTGCCGAAATGCAGTTTCTGAGATGTGAACTGCGTTTGCGATTGTGACGCACAAATAATTTTTAAAGACTTGTGACAGTCCACGCTGGACAACAAGATATTATTTACATTTCATTTTATTTACATAACAATAGACACATTACATTACCTTTACTTTTTTATGGTATAGGTCGGCAAACGAGCAAGCGAATTACCTGATGGTAAGCAATCAGAGCAGCCCATGGACACCCGCAACCCCAAAAATGGGTTTTGGATATTAAGGATTGGGAAGGGATAGGGGGCGGGGTAGGTTAGGGGTCTCCAGTAACCTCACTCACACGTCGACGAAACAACGCTGTGGTTGTTCACGCCGGTTTTCTGTAAGGCCGTGGTATCACTCCGATCGGGCTGACCCAATTGTGCCGAAGCTTGGCTCTCCCACACTTAAACAGTTACCTTTATAAAGTGTATACTGTATATATAAATCAATTAAGGTTTATCTGCAAGAGCGGTTGTTTATTTGTTTTGCGATGTTTGACAAACAAGCATACGTATTAACCTAGTGGCAAGCAATCAGCTCCGCCAAGGAGACATTTAACACCAAATAACTTATAAGTACGGTAGTTTCCAACTAGTCGAATTCAGTACTTTTATCCAAATGTCAAAAACTATACTTTTCTATGAGATTTGTATGAAACGCTAAGTTATGACGTCATAGTATTTAAGCGTTAAATAGCTTACTTATTTCCTAAAAGTTAGTTAGTAAATATCTAAAATTTAGTGTATCGATCGATCGATCGATGAATAATAGTATAGTTGTTTTTCAATATTTTATTGTATTGAAACGTCGAATTAATTTATTTTTGACCTAGGAAACTAGCCACTTGTCAGTGTCACCAATGTTTAGGGAGTTGAGAATTGATGATAGAGGGTTAGGGGGGGAAAGATTAGGCCTCCGGTAACCCCATTTACATGGCAAAAAACAACGCAAACAACTTATCATTTTTTTTTTATTATTTCTGCATCTTATTCAGGTATATGGACGAACAGACAGAAGACAATGCAACATTACCGTCGCCGGCTCCAAAGAAACGGCGCGGCCCGTCTCCAACACCGGACAAGGAAAAGGAAAAGACTGAGCCCAAAGAAAAAGTACCAGATAAAAATATTAAACAGTTCAATGCTGTAACACAGGTATGTTAAAACAAGGAATTGTTTAATTTAAAACTTTGAAAAGAAAACAGAAATATTTTGACGATATAACTCCTTAGTTAGTATTAGTTTAACTACCTTTTGCCCTATCCTATTTCCTTTCTCGAGTTCCAAATTATGTCTGTACCAAATTTACAGAAATCGGTTCAGTAGTTTAGGCGTGAAGAAAAGACAGACAGACCGACAGACAGAGTTATTTTCGCATTTATAATATTAGTTTGGATTACTTTTTACAATGACACTGTTAGTCTATCACTTATTTTGCCCTATGTCATAACAAACCTCTTTTTGACATGGGATATTAAAATAAATACAATAATTAACTTGTTGTTTTTATTCATTTGCAGTCTGAACTTGAGGATCTGAAAGAGCCATTTAAATCAGGTAAGAATCTTTTATTTATTATGTTCTTTCTAATTTTACCTAAAAAACTTCATAAATAGAAATTAGTTGATCAATGATTTATATCTATATAACATGATGATTTATATCTATAGAATATGATTTAAATCTATACAAAAATATCTATATCTATATAGAGAACAGACAGGATTAAAAAATAAGAATTTAAACAATGAAAATATAAGGCTGTAGAAATAATATTTAGTTCGAACCGGGTGTTGAAGCTGTTAACTCATGATTAAAAACACACAGACAACCACAGCGTATTCATTTTTAAAACGCCGGCAACGCGCCTTTGACTCCTCTTTGTTGCGGGTGTCTATGGGCGGCACTGATCACTTACCATCGCGTGATCCTTTTGCTCGTTAACCTCCTATTCCATAAAAAAAAACTACACCAAGAAGTGTCGAACATAATTGACAAAAAAAAGCAAAGCGTATTAAAAAAAATTAAGTTAGTGAATTCTATTACTAAAACCTCTTCCGAGCTAGGCTGAATGCAATCATACCTTTACAAACAAAGTAACCGCGTAAACATGTTCCATTTTCAAAAGTTTTCATTTACCGCGAAAATTTTGACGTTTGCTATCGACACGTACATTATTTATTTTTGTTTTAATTAAAATTACGTTAAAAATGGACGATTTGAATTACGGAAACGGTCAATTTAGTTTGAAAAATGATATATTCAGTCAGTTTGATGATAATTTCGTCACCGACGAATATTTGAAGAGCTATCAGAATAGTATTGGATTGAGTGACCCTCAAACTTCAATTTGTGAAGGTATTTATAAGCGTATTAATTATTTGTATTTTAATTTTCCCTTGAAGGACTCTTATTGATTTTTTGCGTTTATTAAAACTTTGCTGAACCGAACTTGTCACTTATATTATACTTAATACGTAAATTCTTTGATACGGTATACAAATAATTTGAACGGAAACTTTACATATTAATTTGCAAAACATTACAAAAGATGAGAGTGATTTACGAAAAATTTATATTTATTTTTAGATGTAAATTCAAAGCAAGAGAATTTACACCATGTAAGTCAAACTAAAATAATACCAACATTCGGGAAAAAGAAGAATTTAAAGAAAAATGATAAAAAATCTCTTTCAAAGCCTAAGAAGTTTGTACCACCTATAAAGAGCGTAAAAAACAATGAAAATAGCACTTTGGTAACCAACATTGGTTCCATGCGCGAAACGGACAAACATTTGCAACCAATATCCAATTTGAACCAAGATCATGGCACAAATGTTTGTGATACGAGTTTTACGCATATATCACAGGAAAATAACAATCTTTCTACTTTTTCTGATACTTTATGTAAAGAAAATGATATAAATAATTCTGAAATGATGTTTATAGATACAAATTATCAACCTTTAGCAATACTTCATGAAACGAATGCCACAGGTTCTCAAGAAAATACAAAAGTTATCAATAAAAAAGTATCTCTACCAAAAAGGATGCATTCAAACAAACTAGGCAGTATTATATCAAGTGCCATTAACGTTTTAGAAGACGAAGAAACGTTGATAGAGGAGAATTTTGAAAATCTCACACAAAATTCTAATTCCGATAGATGTAGTGTTAAAAGCTTGTCTCAAAATCAAAACCTATCCTTCTGTTCTGTTACTTCACTGAGTAAAACTTATAAAAACTTAGATTGTAATAGTTTTAAAAGTGAAACTCATAGAATACCACAAGGCGAAGAATTTTTAAACCTCTTTAAAAATGATATTGTCTGTGGTGATGTTAAAAAGGGCGTGGCGATGTCCACAGAGTATGGCGATATAGGATTTAATTTAAAATATTCTGATTATATCAAAAATGTTGGTGAAATATTTGATAGGACTGATGAAGAGAAAGAAATAATTTTGAAAATTGTTAATATGTATCCTAATGAGAATAGTATATTGAAGAAAAAGTTGTCTAAGTAGAGATTTAGGAATAAAGTCTATGTTAAAATATTGATTTGTGTTTGATTTTGTTATAAATAATTAAATTAAAGATTCGAATGGTCAATCAAGAATGGTATTATGACAAATCCTTCTTTAGGGAGGTCTAATTAAGTGGCTCTTATTAATAGGTGTTTTTTTCAATTCAATTCATTGTAATGTCAATTGAGTGATTATAAACGTTTTCCCATTTTTATGGCATAGGTAAGTAAACGAGTCGGATCAGTATATGGATTACCTGATGTTAAGTAATCGACGCCGGCCAGTGTCTATGGCGTATATCGTGATACCAAAGACTGTGTGTGTTGTGTGGGTTGTTAGGGATTTAAGGATTGTATGTCAAAAAGCTTTTACTTATTCCTAGTTATATGTAAAGTGCAAAATATCATTGAATTTTATGCCAATGAATCACCAATCTTAATCTAGTATGCTTATTGATTTCTTCTTTACATTTCTTTATAATCGAACCTAGTTTTCTGTCAAAAACTCGCGGCATCGACCGCATTTTGATAATACGGCCGGATATTATCACCTATTCTTGTTGAAGAATCCCCCTTTTTCCATCTAAAGGATCTCTCTGTTCTCTATAAGTTTATCAAGTTCCTACAGAGTCATATGCCAAATACTACATATTTATTCATCATTCACGTAAAAGTATCTTATATTCTATTTCTTTGAAATATTCACAGAGGATGCAGAAAAGGAAAATATATTAATAGCTTACCTACCATCCGGCCAGTACGTCGGCATTAAACTCTTCCAGTCAAGACCGAGCAGCTTCAAAAACGAAGCATCGAGACTACAGTGGGATAAACAGGCTGCTTCTAATGCTGTCACATTGAAAATGCAGTTGGGTAAGTTTAATATTATTATAAGTTATAGACAATCCTCTTTTAGGCTATACACCTCCTTTTCGTAGAAGAGTTTGTCCTGTCTAATTTAATATACAGGTTCAATTAGATATTTAAATAATAAAAAAATGAGAATTCGATTTCTCCTGAGTCGAAAGTGCGTTTACAGACTTTATCGTACCTATAATTTTGTTTGATAGTCTCTTAAAAATAAGTGCCATACAATTTTTTTTTAATAAATAAGTTTTATGCGCGCTCATGTTCGACAAGTTTATACCTGTTTAGTTTCCAATCTAGGAATATGTTAATAGACAGAAATTGTCCTGTGACTTCAATTTATTTATATATTGTTTACAGAAAAAGGCCATGTACCATACAACTCGGTGGTGGCGCAGTTGGTGACGGACCTCAACCTCACAGACGAAGAGAAGGCTACTCTCGACAAAGAAAGGGAAACCGGTGAGTATGTAGTTTGTCTAAACTAATATTATAAAGAGGTAAAATTTGTAAGTTTGTATGTATGGGGTAATCTTTGGAACTGCTAGTTGGATTGCCAAAATTCGCAGCAGCAGAAGTAATGAGGTACACAGGTAATCCGTTTGCTCCAGACAAACCAAAACACTTAAAAACGCGTTGGTAGTCTTTTGAGATAAGGGTTTTGGATATTTAAAGATTGGGAAGGGATGGGGAGAGGGAAGGGATTGGGCCTCCGGTAACCTCAATCACACAGCTAAACACAATGCTGTGGTTGTTCAACGACGGTTTTCTGTTAAGCCGTAGTATCACTCCCGTCGAGCCAACCCATTCGTGCCGAAGCATTGTCTCTTTTTTATGGAATAGGAGGCAAACGAGCAGACGGATCACCTGATGGTAAGCGATCGGCGCCGCCCATGGACATCTGCAACACCGGAGGAGTCACAGGTGCGTTGCCGGCCTTTAAAGAGGTGGGTTTTAGTCAGTTAGAGTCTGACACTCCCTCTCACTAATCACATCACTCAGAGCGGGAGAAGTCATTTGATGACCTTCTCTCAAAAAAGCTATCTACTAATTACACAATGTTCTCTGTTTTTACAGAAGAGAAGAAATCTCGAGTGCAGTTCTTGAAGACTGAAATGAAGATGATAGAGTTAGACGCAAAGATAAAGACTTGCTTGTCGCTAGAAAAAGCCGACACTGAAATGTGTTTGAAACTCCTCGACGATTTATTGGGTAAGTTCTTTTCTTCTTTCTTTCTTTCTTTCTAAAAATCGTTGCCCCACACTAGGATTTTCTCCTGTGTCGTGTGTGCGTTTACAAACATACAATTTCCAAAACCACACCAATTTCCCATTTCTGAAATTGTATGTTTGTAAACGCACCTCCGATACAGGAGAAATTGTTTGTGTAGGGTAATACAGTGAAACAATGAATTTATTTTTTCAAATAAGCCATAAAACGTCACTTTAACACGTCAATTTATATGTGAAAAACTAGATGAATACGGCATTTCCTATCTGACTACTCTGAGAAGAAATGCCGAAACAAACTCAGAGGTTGGTTAATGATTTAAAAATAAAAACAAAAGAAAATAAACCTCTTTATCTTTGCTTAAAAGGTTTTTTGCCATACTTACGTGCAGAACAGACTGTCGAAAATGGGAAATGACCCAAAATTTGTGAAAAAAGTATTTGTTTGTAAAAATGTATTAATTTCGTATTTACTTCCAAAATCTCAATCTATTGAAACGCGGTAGCTTCTCAAGCAAAGTTCAAATACCTATTTCAATTTTACTTCATTGAAAACGACCAAAAACATAAAGAAATTCTTTTCTCTGGATTTTTTTTAACTAAAACATCTATATTTGACTTTCAGCTCTAGATATAAAGCCTTTAATGCTGTTAAAACACCCGACCTGCTTGGAAACCATCAAACGAATGCGTGCCTACGTCGGTAATACGCCATCTTGGGAACTGTCAGAGAGCGCCGCGCTAGTCTTCACTAAGCAAGCACATAAGATCAGAAAACAGGCCGATGCTGTTTATAAGAAGATGAGGGTGAGTTACCTAAAATTGTTTCACACATTAGGCGTGGAAGAGCCAAGCTTCGGCACGAATGGGTCGGCTCGACCGTAGTGATACTATGGCTTCACAAAACCGGCGAGAAACACCCCCATGTTTCGCCGTGTGAGTGAGGTTACCAGAGGTCCAATCCCTTCCCCTCTCCCCATATCTAAAACCCTTATCTCCAAAAAACCACCAACGCGTTTTAAAGTGTTTTGGTTTGTCCGGAACAAACGCATTACCTGTTGGTAGGTACGCAATCTATGCCAGCCATGAACAACTCCATAAAAAAGACACATACTGGTATCACTATTAATACCAGGTTGAATGCCCTTGTCATGGGCACACACATGTGGGCCACGCTAGCGGAGGATTTACCCTCAACAGTAATCTGTCGGCAGTAAATGACTTAAAGAACGAATCACTGGATAGAATTCTCTCCACTGATCGCCACTATCATACAAGACTTGTGCGTGAAGCGGTTGAAATAAAGAAATGCCCAAATAATTTCAATCGGGGGCTTTAAATTGTCGTCGACGTGGAATCCGGTGATTCGCAAAACACAACCTCGGTTTTCTTCAAAGTCAGTTAACACATCTGTGGATACGGTCAACGTAGTGTGTAGACGGCCTAATATGGTAGAAAGATATGTTAATATGTTGTTTATAATAAATGGATGAAAATAAGGGGGTAGGTGAAGATTCATCGCCCGAATGCAGGGAGATGTGTCATCGCGTCTTCAGTCTGCTTGTGACCACGACCTGTGTAACCAGGTCGAAACGTCAAGCCTACCAAGATATTCAGATAATTATTTTCGCGTTAATACCCGAGTAATTTATGTTGTTAAAGAGCGAAGATTTTGGGTGCCCGGCTGCAGCGTTGCGTGTTTTACATGACTTAAGGCGACAAAGGAGTTGACTGTAGCTCAAAATCCTGTAAAAATACCGGAGGAGTCACGAGTTTGTTGCCGGCCTTTTGGGGATTAGGGTTTCTGGGATTTAGGGATTGGGGAGGGATGAGTGAAAGTTGTGTCAACGGATTTCTGATAGGCTGTGTGTCGACAGGAGTGTTATACACACACATGTCGACCCGTTCCACACAAAAAAAAAATCCACCTATTATATTACATAGGTAATATATTAATATTGTATATTGTATTATAGTAAAGCATTGTATATATTCTTTTCTTACGTTAAAAATATGATTTGTTCCAGGATCTCTTCACACCGTTGGAAGGTCTGTCGTTCTGGGAGTATTTCACGAATCGCGTGATGAGATTCAAGAAAGCTACAAGCAATCTCAGCCCTGACGAACTACTAGAGTTAATACATGAACCACTAGGTTAGTATATGCTAAATCCATTGAATATTTTGTAGGTTGCGGTAAAAAAAGGGGACTGAAAGAAAAACCATTTATTTCACACACAAATGACGGAAGAAACAAACACACACGAATATAGCTAAATAGGGACAAAACAAACAATGAACATTAAAAAAAAGAAAAGCCCTGCAATTGCGTCACTCATGCGTGAAAAAGGGCAGCGCTCAGCATAAATGCTGTGTCTCGCGCACGCAGGCACGAAACAACTCAAGAATCAAATCAAGACACTTTCGGCCCTATGCGACATCAACGCATACGCTATTTCACGCCAGTGCAAAATAAGTATACCGGATACATACTAGCCATGCTTCGATACGAATGCGTTGATCGGATGATACCACGTGAATTTCACCTTGTTAATCACAGGCCAAAAGGCTATTTTTTGATGGGGTAAAATGAAAAATCATGTAGAGTGAGTTAGTGTCAGACCCTTACTGACTAAAAACTACCTTGTTCCTTCGCTTGCTTCAGACCAGATCGGAGTACCTTATTGCGATTGACTTGCTATTCCAGCTGAAGATCGGCCCTGTTGGGACCCATATGCGTAGGAAGCCATAAGACTGACAACACACTTTTAACTCGTCTGATGTCCTTGGATTCCCCTCCATGGATAGCACTGATCACTGGTCATCGATTGATCTGTTTGGTCGTAAATCATACGACGCACAGAGCTTAGCTATACTTTTCGCTATTGCATATGTCGGTGATAAATAAGAAAAGAAGGAAGAATTAATTTACTGTCAATCCCTGCATATTTGTGATTTCTTTATACATAACTAGGTATTCTCGCGCGGTTTCACCCGCTGCTCGGCCCTATTTGATCGTAGCGTGATGTTTTATAGCCTATAGCACTCAGGAACATTGTAGCTATCTATCAGTGAAAGATTTTGGCAATCTGACCAGCGGTTCCAAAGATTACCCCCTACATACAAACGTACAAATTTTACCTCTTTATAATATTAGTATAGATAGGCTGATGTTTTATTTTTTGTTAATTAAATTATCTTTTTTTTATATTCCAGTTATGTCAGAGCCAGCATCGTTCGATATGAAAGAGGCAGTCGACGCGGCGAACGAAACGGAACAGAAAGAATTAATACAACCAGACGGAGAAGATAAAAATAAAAAGAAAACTACACCAGGTGAGCATTTGTTACAGCATAATAATTACAACACAACAACGGCCAATACACTGTCCACATACACAGCCCTGTTGATATTTTCACTGACCTGTTTCTGTCAAACATCTTTTACTCGGTTTTTAAGAATAATCACAGGAATTAAATTCTGCCGTCATTACCATTCCCAACCACGGCTTACAATTGGACGTATAATAATTATTTTAGGGCTGATATTTCAATGGTTAGATAAAAGTTACCTGGGGAATAATTATGATGCTGTCGCGTTTGTACACGACAGTAACAGAAACAACTTTATTCCTCAAATAACATTTATCTGACTATTGAAAAATCAGCCCTAACCAGAATATTTTTGACGAACCGATTTTTTAAAGGTTATTTTTTATCTAAAAACAAAATTTTCTTGACAGCGAAAGCCAAGAAATCATCATCAACGAACAACGTTACGAAAACACCAGTGAAGAGGCAATCGTCAAGAAAACTACAAGACGATAAAGAGAAAGATAAAGACACAGAAGAATCGCCCGAAACAGAAGCGACTACAACAGAAGCAGCACCTGAGGCACCAACAACAGAAACAACACCAGAAGAACAAGAAGAAACGACGAAACCACAAGAAGAAGAACAGAAAGTAGACGAACAACGTGAAAAAACGCCGGAGAAGACGACAGAAGAAGTGAAACCAGTTGAAAATGAGAAGGAATCGACTGAGGAGAATGGTGATTTGGACAATGGTGAGAAGGCAGAAGAGGTTGAGAAGGAGAAGAAAGAAAAAGAAGATGTTGGTGAGCCTAGAGCGAAACGATCGAGAGAGGTTAGTTAATAAATTATACTATTGGCTTTGATTCTTTTGTGTTTAAAATAGTAGGCAGATGTGCATTAAATATAGGGTTGATTTTTCAATGGTTCGATAAAAGTTACCTATGGAATAATTATTGATGATGTCGCGTCAGAATGTTTGCATAAGACAGTGACAGCAACAATTTTATTCCTCAGATAACATTTATCTGACTATTGAAAAATCAGCCCTTAAATGCTTTTAATTATTTTTTGCTGATGTTGTTGGAACTTATACATATTCGTAGCATCATTTAAAAGAAGTTTCAAAAAGTAGAGAGCAGATTTTGTTTACATAGTTAAAATCAGTATGTAAGGAAACAGAACTGACTCTCTGTTTTTCTTAATTCCTTAGCGTAAATGTCCTTAATAAAGTTTTTAGACTTTGATATATTGCGTATGAATACTAAGTTTCATTAAAATCGGTTCAGTAGTTTTCATATATTTTGACTTGAAATAATATACAAAAATCGTGTCGTGGAAATTCTTAAATATTCGTCTTTTAGTATTTGGGTACTTGCCTTCTTAAGATTTGTTTTGGATTACCTATTATTAGTAGTTACATAACGTTACAAAAATTAATTAGGACCATCTAACTATCGTGAGACATTCTTATTGAAAATAACGACGCGACACGCACACCCTGCTCATATGAATAAGAGTCCCGCTGTGACTTGAAATCAGTAGAGCTTTTCTCGACGTATAAGTAGTTAGAGACCCGCCCCAGCTTCGAATAGGTCCAATGCTGTTACAAAATTTCTCCACTATTTAATGGATATTATAATACCTCTAAAATTTCCTCTTCAATCACTATATATTTAAAAAACGCATAAAAATCGTCTTTTTATTATTGTTATTTGTAGACAGGCAGGCAGTTGAAACAACTGATAATGCCCGCATACTCTTAATTTCCACTAGTTCATTTCTTGCAGTTGAGTTAATATTTATCCAGTCGATTTTTAAATTGGTTCCAAAGTAGTTTGCGTAATTTTAAAGATTTAAGCATACATAGGGATATAGGGACAGAGAAAATGACTTTGTTTTATACTATGTAGTGAAAAGTATTTAGTCATACATTCGAATTAGTAATTTTGCTTCAAATATCTAAATAATATTTAATTTTCCAGATTAGGCGCAGACGAATTCATGTGATATGATTTAATTATCATTATTACACGATAGACTGTCGCGCTAAATGGTCAGAAATATTCATTTTACATAGATTTTTATTTTATGCACGATTAATCATACAGTAATGGCTTTAAATTTTCTTATATATCATAGTTAGTGATTCTTATTATGTTACTGCCTTTTAGCGTCTAACTCTTTCACCGCGGCCTCGGCCTAGAGCAGGAGAAGGAACGGGGAGTTTTTAGTCAATAATAGTCTGACGCTTCCTCAAGCCTTCATCCTGGGCGAGTGAAGTCGTTGGATAATTTTCCCCTCACAAAAAAGGGTCTAAACCTTGTCTGAAGTCCCAGCTGACTATATTCGCGTTGAATTTTACTGAGTATCGGTGCCGACCCGAAGTTTGGTTGTTTACTCAGATAAAAATTAATTATTTCGCTTTAAAATACACTTAAAAATCTAAAAAACTGTCACTTTTTATTACTGATGTGTCGACTCATTTAATTTTCAATTTTTTTTAAACATTTTTGAAGATATAAGTATGATATTAGTTGTTTAAATACGTATTATCACCTTAAAAGTTGCGATTTTGTATACAATTCATAGAAAAGTATATTATACTCTTAGTCATTTTCATTAAAGTGTATAAATATATATGCATAATTATGTAACGTGAATAATTATAAGTAGCTAAATTTTCATGAAAGTTATGAAGGTAAATTTTCAACTACCTTATTGGGAGAAGGCCAACAGGATCTGCTTAGTTTTCACTCTAACTACACGGGTCGAAGGCGCAATTTTGTCTATGTAAATAACGAATGTAACATCAAAAAATAAACCGGAATTTATGATAATTTTGCTTTTAACATTTTAAGCACCGCGAGTTAATAAGTAAGGCAAAGTATTATTATTTAAATATATAAAAATGTATATTCGATCTGATATAAGCGTGATGTTATGTTGTAAATCAAACTTAATTATAGATTTTTGCGTTATAAGCAACATACACTTTTGTAAAAAGTATCAACTCTCTCATGAAAATCTATTAAGGGAAGCTTGTGCACGCTGCTTACGAATAAGAGTCCCGTTGTGACTTATAATACGGGTACAATAATATGTTTTAGAGAGCTTGTAAAACAATTATTTTTTAAAGAGTAACTATGGAGTTTCTTTCTCATTCTTCTCCATTCGAATCTACAATTTGGAACGAGCACCTAGCTTCACTGACGAACAGACTGACAGACTGCTTTGACTTTTCTAATAATTTGACTTTTTAAAAGTACCTGTTTTTAGTTTAGTTGGAATAAATGATTTTGACTTTGTAACTGGTACAGCATTGGCTCGGTCTTTTAGGTGAGTGAGTAAGTCAAGTCAATATTTTCAATAAATTCAATGATAATTTATCATTATTATCAGTAAAAATCTAATTAGTCAAGTACCCATAGTATTTATATTAATTTAGCTAAATTATTTTATTAGTAGGTAGTTTGATAATATTAGAAAATGTAGTTTCATATTTAAAGCCAAACTGCTTCATTGGTTGAACTCCTTACATGGTTGGACAAAGTAACCTGCTGAAATAACTATAGCATGGACTTAATATTGTAGTGATTGGTAATTTAAAAACTTAACTAAAGAAAAATTGTCATTCATACTCGTTATAGAGTATTTATATATCTACCTTCTCTGCTTATCCCTTTATGGAACAGCAGGCGTAATGTTATGGCTTCCTCTATACTTATTGTGAATGGTATGTAGACACTGCTTTATTAAAAACCGGATAAATGAGAATCGGATTCGTGCACGATGGATTCCAAAGAGAAACCCACCTTTAAAAGTTATATTTGTTCTTTCTTATAGCAGTTACAGAAATATATTACACATAGGTATGTATATATATATATATTATCTGGTCAAATTTCAACTGTCTAGCTTTCAAGATTCATGTGATACCTACAGCCTAGTGAAAGACAGCCAAACAGACGGATGGACAGTTGATTCTGAGTAATAGGGATCCCTGTTTTGACCCTAGAGATAAGAGTTAAGATTTACATTACGGAACCCTGTAAAGTTCCCAAAGCATGAATTTTCACATTTTTCACAAAGTTCTATTCACAAATTTTGTGAATTGTGAAACTAATTTTGAAAAAAAAAATACAAATCACTTGAAGCCATTGTTATTTTGTCATTGGGTTTTTAAAATTTTATTTTGTTGTCCCACATACAAGTGGAATTTTATCATGGAAAGTAAAAGTCAATTTTAATTGAGCAGGCGTGATACAATCGCTTGTGTTTTCTGCATCCGTTTTAATAAACCTCGCCCAAGCGTTTTTGGTAAGAGGTGTGTGTATATAAGGGGCCATCCCTCCCCGCTTCCAGAAGCACTGAGGGTGCCAGTTAGTCAACTTAGACTGGAATAGATCGCTTAAAAAATGACATCAGTTAATCCTGTCTTATTTAATTTCTTTTTTACTTATCCTATGGGATAGGAGTAAATTGATACTAACGAAGGAAATAAACATTCAGAACTTTTAAGTATCTGTTCTATTAACAATATCGTTAAAACTAATATAAATTTGTTTTGTTTTTCCAGAACAAGAAGACTGAGCCCCCTCCACCAAGGTCACCAGCAAAGCGAAAGTCGAAAGTTTAATACTTTTGTTTTTACATACTTTAAATACAAAAGAATCGTCGGATTTTATTTTTATACTGACGACTGTAGTCGTCTGATCGATGTGGATGCATTTCTATATTGTTAAGGTACAAATGTCATTTCAATGCTCGTTCTACCATTTACGAGGACGCCCGACTGGTTTCGAGCTTGTGTAAAAGGATTTGAATTTCTACCTTTCACTGTGACACATTGAATTCTTAAAACGTTTAATAAGTTATATTAAATTAATAAAGGATAGAAATATGCGCTTGTATCTGTGCATTCTCAGTGAATTTGTTTTAACATTTGAGATCTTTACATAAGTTAATCTTACATAAGTTTCTTAGATTTATTTTTATTAAATCTGCACTATGTACCTATGTGTATGAATAAATTACAATTTGTCTTGGTTACGGCATCACGTATAAACGGTTAAAACTATTCTGATCATTATTTTCATGCTGTTTGTTAAGATCTGGAGAAGGTTCTTATAGAAGAAAATTTTAGAAAAGTATAGAATAAATCGGAAAATCGCTAACAAAATAAATGTCTGACGTCAAGGTGACGGATCAGGGGCGCTCCACTAGTACAATATAAGATTTGCATCCACAATCACAGAACTAAATAAAATATCCTATTGACATAGTTTTAATGTAAAAAGTTTAGTTTAAAAAACAGTTTCTATGAAATTTATTCGAAATATAATCGTACAAGTTAGTTGATTTTTTACTGCACTATTTAAACAAAATTGATATTTTATGTTCAGCATTTAGATTACCACGTTAAAATAGCCCTTATTTTAAAGTATCATGGTTGGTTTTATCTCTGAGAAGTTGACCGTATTTAAAGGAGTGAGGTCTATTTTTCAAACATTATGTATTCAAAATACTAGTGCCTACAGCGCATTGCGTTCTGCGTGCGCCCCAAACAGCCAATAGTCCACCACAGACGGGGACCTATAGGGCTGATGTTCAACTGGGGTTGCGGGTTAAGCGCTATGTGTCACCGCGGCCTCGGCCCAGACGACAATTAAACTTTTAATTCACAAAAAAATTTCAAAGTAAAATCGACTTATAATCCAAATCCAAACTAATATTATAAATGCGAAAGTAAAGTACTGAACCGATTTGTGTGAAATTTGGTAGAGACATAGTTTGGAACTCGAGAAAGGACATAGGATAGTTTTTAAACCAAAAATCTGCAGGAAGTTAATATTCCACGCGAACGAAAGTCGCGGACAAAAGCAAGTAAGCCCATAAATTGGTAAAGTGTTTGAATGTAAAACTGCGTCTTTGTATCTTCTTGAGCATTAAGACTCCGTATATAACCTTCTCTCCTCTAAAGAAGTACATATTAACCGGTCGAAAGCGACCTGCTTACAGTACGGCCGCCGTATCTTGGCGAGTCTGAAGTTAGCTGATTAGCTCCGCAGTACACAATTTTGTTCCTAAAAGATCCAAACAAACGGCTAACTTCAGACTCGCCAAGATACGGCGGCCGTACTGTACAGCGATCTAATATATGGTGCATGGATAATTAATATGAAAAAATCATACTATTAAAAGCCCTGTCGAGACTCGTATGTGTTCAAGGGTGCCACGTCTGCCTGTTTGCACCATAATCCATTAAAATATATGTATATGTAATGTTTGGGAATAGACCAGTACAAATTTAGAACAATGTATGAAGAGTTGATTTTAAACTGGTTTTAATAACTCTTCGGGAAATGCAAATAACTTATAAAAAGTTATTTCTATTTACACCTCTTCTGAATGTTGTCCTTTACCTTATTTTTTCTCCAAAACTATCCCCCAAAAGGCCGGCAACGCATTCGTAGCCCCTCTTATTAGATTGCTTACCTTAAGGTCCGCAAGGTCCTATATGCCGCCTTAATACATAAAAAATGAATGACGGAAATAAGGTTAAGGACAAAACAAAGAGAAATTCTGCTATAAAAGTCCAATGGTTCGATTCAAAACTTAAAATATGCATGTAAAAATGAGTGGTTTTATATACCCTGTCTGTAAGACTTAATCATTGTACGTCGAATTTGAAACGCAAAAATGTTACAACCATGTAATCAAATGACTTTAAAATACTCCTTCGAGTATGTATTACAAATTCTATGGAGAGTGTTAAAAATAATATAGAAATATTAATATACAGTTTTTTGTATTATAAGATCTTTACAGCCTTATAATTATTATGAGCTCGTTAGGGGTCATGCACAAGGCTTATGAACGGTGGCGACTTAGTCGCGCAACTAACTAGTTGTCGGCGACTTCATAAACCTCTGTGTCCATTTTGACGCCAAAAAACTGTCTATTAGTATTTTAATGTTATTAATTATACGTTTGTAATAAGTATCCAGGTTACAAAAATGTACCATGAAATTGACTATCGGTCGATATTATTCTCAATATCTTTGGATTATGGTCTTCTGTTAAAAATCTAAATCGATTCTGTTTTTGTATGAGGATGGGATTTTCGGATGTATATCTCACAGATTATGTGAAGTTTCACATTATTGGTTAAATAAAGTACAGTTTTTATTGTATTAGGTTTATTTTTAGCTAGATATAAATGCTAGTTGTAATTAATAACATTGTAAATATTTACAATAAACATACCTACTTATACTATGAATAATTTTTTATTTGTGTTATACCAGTCTAAGGTTTTGATTTTACTAAGAAAAACTATGGAAATACGCAGTGCCGGCGTAAGGACCACTGACACTCTGGGCGAAATATTGTGGAGCCTTCTTGAGGGAAGCAATATCAAGTGGTAGTTTTATATATATATAGAAGGTTCAGTTATCTCCACCATTTACCACGTGTCACGCGCATCGTTTTGGCGGTGGAAGTATTGTTTACACATTCAACAGAGAACAATAAAAAGTATAGCAGTAATAGCATGGAATACTTGGTATACAAGTCTGCACCCACATTATCGTTTTTAATTCAACGGAAACTTACCCAATAAAAGAAAAACTGGGAATGACACTGGTCGGTTGGAAGCATAGAGAATATACATTCAGTCAACAAAGTATCGGGAATGAATGTTTTTTTTATGGTTCCAAATTCGAATTTTATTTTTTTTTGTTGTTGTTAGATTGGCATAACTGTTTTCCATTTTGGCGCGGAATTTGAGTTGCATCTGTTATTTATATTAAAAACAGTGATGTTTTTAGTTTTATAATATCTAGTGTGTATTGCGAATTTCTAAATGGACAAAAACATCGAACAAAGAGTTTGTCTTAAATTTTGCATCGCCAATGAAATTTCGTGTTCGGAGGCACTCAAAATGTTACAGAAGGCTTACGGTGAATCGACTTTATCAAAAACACGTGCTTATGAGTGGTACAAAGCGTTCAAAAGCGGGCGAGATGTGATGGAAGATTTGCCTCGTTCTGGTAGGCCATCAACGTCTGCAACCGAAGTTAACATCGCAAAAGTGAAGGAAATAGTGACTGAAAATCCTCATTCAAGTTTGAGAGAGATGGCCGCCGAACTTTCTTTATCTCACGAGTCGATCCGTACCATTTTAACAAATAATTTGGGTATGAAACGTGTTGCCGCTCGGCTAGTCCCAAAAGACCTGAATTTTCTTCAAAAACTAAATCGCATGAAAGTCGCCGAGGACATGCTAGAACGAGTCAATACCGACCCAACATTCATGAAACGCATTGTTACTGGTGACGAGACGTGGGTTTACGAGTTTGACATACAAACTAGTCAACAAGCTTCGGAATGGCGCCTTCCAACTGAACCAAAACCGAAAAAACCACGTCAAAGTCGATCAAAAGTCAAAGTCATGTTGACTATTTTCTTTGACTATCGCGGTGTTGTGCACTCAGGATTCTTGCCCGAAGGTCAAACGGTAAATAAAGAATATTATTTGAGCGTTATGCGGCGTTTAAGAGAACAAATTCGACGAAAAAGGCCAGAAATGTGGAAAGAAAATTCTTGGATTTTGCATCACGATAATACGCCTTCTCACAAGGCCATCATTGTAAACGATTTTTTGTCAAAACACTCAACAAACACCATCGAGCAGCCACCATATTCACCAGATATGGCTCCAGCCGACTTCTTTCTTTTTCCCACACTCAAATTACCCCTTCGTGGCACCCGTTTTCAATCGTTAGAAGACATAAAGGAGAATTCGCGGCGAGCACTGAACTCAATTCCGGAAACAGCGATTAAAAAAAGTTTGGATGATTGGATTATTCGTTGGCTGTAAGTGTATCGTTTCTGAAGGAGCATACTTTGAAGGTGATAAAATAAATTTAGATGAATAACAAACATTTTGTGTATTATTGACTTTTTCCCGGTACTTTCTTGACAGAGTAGTATAATCACAAGTGTTTATTTCGTCGTTGGTTGGAGGTTTGGTAGCGGTTTCAATAATTTACGTACAATAGTTACACCATTAAATACTTTATTGACTCATAAGTAGGTACAACTAAACAATAGTAAATAAAAAAAAAACTAATTTATATTTGTTTAGCGTCGCCTTCTTCTTTTTCTATTCTCTCTCGGATACATGTTTAAAATCTTTCCAGCCGTCTCTTTTGCATCGTCAGCAACTGAAAAAATATTTCTAATTTACTTATCTACGGTTAAGGCTCATTCCCTAGGAATAGCTAGTCAAAAGCTGCGGTGACTGGTCAACTGACCGCGCTAATTACTTAAAATCAAGTATCCGCTCATACCTATGTCACTCAGCTAACAAGTTTTTTTTTTATAATTAACTAGCTACTCTCGCACTCACTTTGTTTTGAAGTTTTTAATAGGTACTTAGACTATTTAGTCGATAGTTCTGTGATGGATTTCCTAATCAGGCGAAAGATTTTCTCAATTCCAAGTAAATATAAGAATAGCTCTCTTTTACATGCCTAAAATTAGGAATTGAATCATGGGCGCCTCTGCTATTTCTAGTATAAAAAAGTGTACCTATACTCACATTCATCTTCCGAGCTATCAGGCTGGTGCCTCCTCAGAGCCAACTGCTTATCAAATCCCATCCCATCATACTGACTATTCATAGCTGAAGTCCTAACAGACTTGTTTTCCAAAAAATAAATTTCCGAAACAGCCATAACAGGATTATATAACCCTTGAAACAATTGGTAATAATTCTCTCCTTCAGGAATTTGATGACTGTCTCTATAACTTCTATCTTCGAATTCATTTCTGGACCTGTTTTGGGAGCTAGTACCTTCGCCTGGATCTGATTCTCCAAATAACTCATCAGCGAATTGACATGGGTACTCATTAAATGGTTCTAGAATTTCAGAAGGTCCATTTTGTCTAAAATTGATGATAAATCCGTCCATTCTGGCTTCAGTTTCAGATATAAATTCAAAATCTGACGAATGATAGCCGTCACATGATTCTGAATCGTCTGAATCACTGATTAGCGTTATTGGTTCTTTTGTTTCTTCATTTCGAAGTATGTCTTCATTAATAGACGAATTTATTGAAATAACATCGAGTATTTCGTTATTATTTGAAATTTTCTTTTCATCTGAATTGTTATTTGCGTTCGTTTCATCAGAAATGCTATTGTTATTAATTTCATCATGCAAATCTTCATTTGCAGTATCAATCTCTTTTAAAATCTCGTCAATTTCGTTTGAATTTAAACTACATTGAGTTTCTAAATTGTTTGTTGTAAGCAAATCATCAATGTTTTCTAAGACTTCTTCAAATTCTTTTAGTTGCAAATCTACCACATCAATAGCATTAGGATTATTAATTTCTATTATTTGATTATCATTCCGGACATTTTGAATTGATTCTACATCATTTTCATGTAAATTCTCTTCACAAATATTAGTTACAATATCCGAATTTTCATTAATTTTGCAAGCAACACTATTATTGTTAATTTCTTTACAAACATCGGTATCACAAATTACTTCCATAGGAGGCACACTGGTTAGATTATGGAATGTTTTATCACAATCTAATTCATTAATATCATCTTCAGAAATATTATGTTCGACTGCAATATTAACAATATTGATTTCACCTTCAATATAATTTTGTGTCGAATTTGTATCAAGAACGTTTGAATTAATATCAGAGTGTGAATTTTCGTCTGTTATTCCTTGCGTTTCTACAGTGTTTGGAGTGATCGTGGTTGGAGAAGCATTTTTACCGATAAATAATTTTCTTATGAAGTTCATCGTGTGTAGATCAACTGTAATTTAAAAAATAAGGTTGTATTTATATGCACATATTGTTAACATCTTAATTTTTTACTTTACTACAAAATTCCTGAATCGTGGTAGCGTTTATAGACACTTAGGTAATTTCCTATAGTCTCACTTTGTCACCGTCACAAACCTTGGATATAATACTGGGGAATTGAATTACCTACCTACTTGTTTTGTGCGGTAGGTAATTGGACAGTACCTACCTACATACTCGTCCAGTCAATAGGTACACTAATAGTGTGAACCAAGGTAAGTATATTTCCAAATAAATATTACTTAAACTTACCTAAAAGTGGGTACTAGTCACTAAAGTTACAAATTAATACGTATGTTGTTTTGACGAGTGTTATCCACTTCGGATTATTAGTTAAGTAATTGCATTACATTGATGGTTTTAATTAAAAAAACTATACTTTTTATAAAAACATTGGCTCTCAATCAAAATATCATACCTAATTCAAAGACCAAAAACTTTTTAAGATTCAAACTGTCAAAAAATGGCGGGAAGGCGACGGAGAGCAAAGGCAGAATGTCATACAGCCAAAAGTAGAAAAAAATAGCTATAGTAAAATTTAATGTATTAAATAAAAGGAACACTTATCAAAATGTTTTATTTTATTAATATAAAATGCATGTTACAAGTTTGGTATGTTTAGCAGAAGGTTGTATTGAGCCACATTACGGCAGTGCTGTTTATTGATTACATACATGAACCCAATATTAAATAGGTATATTCAAGTATAATGCTGTTATATCCATGAAATAAAAACAACAAAGATCTTTTAATAATTCTTACATTAGCCTATAAATTAATTACAATGTTACAATTTCACTTCTTTCCCGATTTCTTGATGCCTCCTGTTACCAATGGACCTTTTTGTGAGGCCTTTGCTTTTGCCTCCTGAAAAAAAAAGACGAATGTTAAATCTTTATGAACGAATCACCGAGACCAAGGCTAAAAAATATTTTAGAAACATGAAAAGTAGAATTTAAATTTGATACATATTATCCAGATTTAAAAAGGTTAGGTAATCCTATGAACAAAAAAAGATTAAATAATCAAACTAAATACAGATAATACAAGTTCTACATTCATTATTAATTAAAAAGTTATGATGAAATGTCATGGTCCTAATCCTATTATTATTATTATAAAAGCTTACTGTTATTATAAATAGCCTTTTTATTGTGTTTAAATTATTGTAGAAATACAAGCTAAGCCACAGACAGCAGCTTGTTAGAATTTCAATATTCACCACTATTTTGAGCAGCTCATGAGAACTTTATAAGAAGGTTGTGCCACAATCTTTACACTTGGGAAAATAAAATATAAATATTACAAACCTGTAAAGCCTTCTGCTGTTCCTTTAGTTTTTGCTTATGGGCTAGGTCATCCTCATCTAGGTCTTTTGCTTCTTTCTTGGGAGCCTTCAGCGGCTTCTTCTTGCCACCTTCACGGCCTGACATCTAAAATAAATAATGGCAGTTAAAAAACCTAAAATAACTATGATTTCATACAGATTTTATTGTAAACCTCTCAAATTGCTTTATATTTGCTGGAATCAAAACCTTTACATGATTAATTTATTGTCAGTTGGATGCTAGTTGAGGTGATGTCACACATTCAACTAACGTCACAACTTATTGGTCATGAATAAGAATCCCATTGTCATTTGAAACTAGTTCTCAGAGAATTCACAAGAGTAAGAAGTTTTTTCATTAAATTAAGACAATTATGTCTCAAGATAGTTACTACCTTTCACATGATATGCAAAAATATGGCTTTATGCTGTGGATCAATGAAAATCATATTATAATAATGCAAAATAATTATAATAAAGGTAATGCTAAGTCTAAATTACTAAAAAGGGACACATATTGAACATAATTTATGTATAATTTTCATGAATTATAACGTTATTTACAGTAAAAAAATGTGAAAATTAATTTGATATTGCACTCCGCTGAAACGAAGGAAGAAACTTGAAATCATTCGCTCTGAATGAGTGCTTTTTCCTATTTAACTACAATTTTAGGCAAAGGTAAGCAAGCAAACAGCCTCTTCTAACCATAAAGTATAGAAAACTGTTTTTTTTTTCCTAACACATTAAATTGCTTTTTGCGCTGTTTTGAATAATTTGTTACATATATTTTAGGATAAGTACATTAGGTACTTTGTCTTTTCTACAAAGCAAATAATGAGTTACTGTTTATATTGAAAAGATTAAGATTGCAACAAATAGATTAATAACTCAAGTTAAAACTGATTCATACAAAAGTTATAGCCGTTACAGTGATCATGATAATGTCTGAGAATTCTTATTTTTTTAATTTCACTGCTGACAGAGAATGGTCATTTTTTAATAACCTCAACGCCCAGTTTTGGTCAAGACAATCTAGATTTGATGACTAATAAAAGAAAATATGTTTTCGGTGAATTAAGTCAAGAAATACTTACTTTTAATAATGAAGGAGGAAATGTAACGCGAATTAATTCAACTAATTAAAAAATAACACGCTATTTTCAAAGGTGTTGACGTTTAATAAATGCAACTCAAACTGACAATTTTGTTTTTTAATCCGACGATGGAATGACTCTAATGTTGTCAGCTGAAAAATCCAAAAGAATAACTGAGCACCACGGCTTTTAATCACACCAGATTTTAGTAATAATGTATGCATTGTTATAATGGCAGAAAATGCTGAAAACCCCTACCAATAAATACTAATAAGTACAAAACACACAAGTTACAAGAGTAGGTACATAAGTATCAAGTGAAAATGTAATCTAGAGCTTAGAGCTGTTCAGTATTACGTACTTTTCGAAATTGTGGAAATATAATCCATTGTAGCTGAAAAGCTAAAAAAGTAATTTAAAATCGGATTTAAGGATATACGGATAACTCACTGACACGCCGAAATACAATGCAAGCTTTGTTTCATGCCGCTTTTCTGTGACGCTAAGTGCTGTATTGTAATTCGATGAGTAGCATTCTTCTGCAATAATTCATCATCATCATCATCAGCCTATAAGTGCCCACTGCTGAGCAAAGGCCTCTTCTCACACGGAGAGGGTTTGAGCATTAATCACCACGCTTGCTCAATGCGGGTTGGCGATTTCAAACTTATAATTAGAAATTATAAGTCCAGGTTTCCTCACGATGTTTACCATCACCGTATGTCAGTGGTGTCTAAATAATCATAGAAAAAACATATAACTCTGAAAAAGTCATATTGGTACTTGCCAGGTTTCGAAACCACGCCCTCATGCATGAGAAGCGGGCTCCTTAACCTCCGGGCCACCACGACCACAATACTGCGATGATTAAATCCGAAGTTTTAGGATGTCAAAACAAAAGTTTATAGAAATATAAAGCGTGGTATCGCAAATTCGGAGGTGAAACTTCTAAGATGACCGGACTATTTATAGTTTGAGCCTAAGTAAAATTTTATTTTTATACCTACTTAGACCAAGAGTCTTTTTATAATGTTGGTATAAAACTATCACTTTTCTTATAAATCATGACTGAACCTTTAGTATTATATTTATAGTCCAATAATTCATGCATTATTTTTTTGTGAATTTGAGATGAGCATTTGTTAGTTAACCAGCGGTTAAGCACGGACTGATGAAAACGAGCAAGTCACTAAAGGATTAAAAAAATGCTCAGTTTTACTATTGTCTTTATTTTGATTAGATGAATTAGATGCATTAATTAGTCAAAAAGTAATGTTTCTTTATTCTATGCAATAAAATTCACGATATAATTTTAAGAGATAAAGAGGCCTAGTACCTACGAATGTGACTTTTTCCGAGTTATACGTACTTTCTATCCTGAAACCTGGACTTATATTACTTTGAAATCTCTAAGACAAAAGATATTTAAGATATCTCTCTAAGCATCCTGCCATGTTTATCTAAAGTATTGGAAAAGGTCGTGAGCCAGCAACTTGCATTTTTTCTGGAACAAAACAACGTGTTACCCGACTTACAATCTGGTTTCAGAAAACAGCGCAGCACCTCCACGGCTTTAATAGACGTGACAGATAATATATTAGCAGCCCAAGATAAAGGAATGTGTTCTGTACTGGTCTTACTTGACTTTTCCAGGGCATTTGACGCAATTAATATTCCGTTATTGCTGTCTAAGCTGAATTATTACGGGTTTGACCCTGGTGCTACACAATGGTTCCACAGTTACCTTAGTAATAGGAGGCAACAGGTAGAATTACGTTTGGGTGATGGTACTGTCCTTACATCGGCTCTTACTTCCATTGACAGAGGAGTACCGCAGGGTTCTATACTGGGCCCAATCCTCTTTATTTTGTATTGTGCAGACATAATTAAGTGCCTACAAAATTGCAAGTATCATATATACGCCGACGATGTTCAAGTTTATATATCCTTTAGACCGGATGAACAAGAACGAGCTATTAGGGATCTCAACGATGACCTAATTAGAATCGCAGCCTGGTCTGAAGAGAACTGCCTAGCACTTAACCCAATCAAGTCAAAATATATGGTGTGTGGCATTAGGCGGCAGCTAGGTAGACTTCCCGAAACTCTTGACTTGACACTAATGGGTAAACCAATAAACAGAGTGTATGAAGCGCGAAACCTTGGTCTCATTATGGACATTGACCTTCGTTTTGAGAAACACGTTGCTGGCTCAGTGCGTAGCGGTTTTTACCGCTTGAAAGTTCTGTACAGCATGCGGCCTTTCCTATCCGAAGCACTACGCGAGCAGCTTGTCGAATCCCTTGTTTTGTCCAGGCTCAACTACGCGGACACAGTATACGGCCCGCGGATACTAGCTCGTACTGATCGGCTCATTCAAAGGGTTCAAAACGCCTGTGCTCGTTTTTGTTATAAAATACCGCCCAGAAGCCATGTAACACCATTTCTCAATAAACATTTTGCACTTAAAATGAAGTCAAGACGCAAGTTACACCTGGCCTGCCTTTTATTCGGTGTAATCAAATACCAAAAACCTGACTATCTTTATGGCAAGCTTAGCTGGATCACTGGTAGGCGCGAGTGCGAAAGAAGGCTATGTTCGCAACAACTGTCAACAAACTCTCACAGTACTGCTGCTTTTAGAGGCAGCTTCCGGTATGCGGCTTCTAAAGTGTGGAATAATCTGCCACCACCTATTAGATCAGTCACCACGATCGGCACATTTAGAAGTCGCTTACGGCGGTACTTGATAGAAGCGCAACGGGAACTTGATATGGTCAATGTTAATGTCTCTATTATATAGGTTTAAGTCCACTCCACACAAATACCTACATCAAATGACATTTCACCCGACCGCCTGCAGCGTGCTGTTGATATGATGCAAGGATTAACAATTCGTCGGCATTTAGATTTAGATTCATATATTCAATTGTTTTATTTTTGTCTTATCACTGCGTTTTTTATTTATTTATTTGTTTTAAACTTTAAGCAACAAAAAGTACCAAGGCTGATTTAACAACACGCAACACACACAGACTTGGCGGAGTTTTGCCACTGTTGGGACTTTGTACATACACATGTGTAATGATATATAAACTAAGTCATACATTCCCTAGTCACACATTACCTTCACTACAATTTAGTACACGCTTCCTTTTTATTTTATTTATATATCTACCCCCATTGCAGCTATTTTCTTTTTTTATTGATTATGTATCTACCTACATTTTTAATGTTTATGGAAAAGCTGGTTTGCATCCGTAGCACGTCATGCACAAAGGTCCAGCTGAAAACCAGCGTCAGGCCCAAGTGGTCTGGCATTTATGCTGAACTGGACCTGTTTGGCGCAGCCGTGAGGCCACAGTTATGTAGTTTTCTTTATTTTTTCTTTAATATTAAATAACCTTTTTGTTACTGTGTCTGTGTGCACATGGTTTGTGTCAATAAACTTTTTTCTTTCTTTCTTTCTTTCTATATCCATAACATAAACACGCGCCATAAAAATGATTTACATCTTCCACCCTCTCGGATCAAAATGCTTTACCATAGCCCATATTACATGGCTATAATTTTTTTTAATAAACTACCGCATCATGTAAAAGTAGAACCCGTATTCAATATAGGTATTTAACAAAAATTAAAAGAATACCTAATACAAAGATGTTTCTACTCGGTCGCAGAATACTTAGAATAAATTCGGAATAACGACGCATATACAGCAATATAAATAAAAAAAAAATCAATTAAATTTAATAAAATTGCATTTTTAACAATGTAGGTATAATGTTTAAGTTATAATTAATTTAAGTTACTTACTTATAAGTTACTATTATTATGTTGCCGTGCCCTAACCTAAGTTTCATGTTGGAACTTACTTATATGTATTAATGTAGATAACAACAAAATGTGTAGGTACACATCAATGCAATAAAGACTTTGAATCTTGAAAATCGCCAACCCGCATTGAGCAAGGGTGGCTCAAACCTTCTCTCTGTGAGAAAAGGCTTTTGTTCAGCAGTGGGCACTTATAGGCTGATGATGATGATGAAGTATGCCTATTGATACAAAACTCAGATTGTACCAACAAAATTCATAGAAAACTAACTATGTTGACAGACCTAAATAAGGAACTAATGAATATCAAGTTGAGGGCAATACGCGGCTCGACCGGATTAACCACGGCCTTCCAGCAAACCAGCGTGAAACAACCATAGCGTTGTGTTTCGCCGTGTGAGTGAAGTTACCGGAAGCCTAATCCTTTCCCGTCTCCCCATCCCTTCCCAATCCTTAAATGTCCGATACCCTTATCCCCAAAAGATGGGCAACGCACTTTTAGTAATTCCTTTGCTAATGCGAGTGTCTATGGGTGGCGCTGATTGCTTATCACCAGGTAATCCCTCTGCTTGTTTGACGACCTACAACATAAAAAAGAAATGTACAGAGGCCTCGGCCTGGAGCAGGAGAAAGATCCGAGTGGGTTTTAGTCAGTAAGAGTTGGACACTCCCTTTCGTCCCACCCAAAGAATATATTATGAAAATACGTATTAGTCTACATAGGACGAGAGAAGTAAAAAGGAGAAAATAATCTATACTAATATTATAAGGAAGTAAAAGTAAGTTTGTATGTATGGGGTAATCTTTGAAACCGCTCTGGTCAGATCGCCAAAATTCTTTCACTGATAGATAGCTACAATGTTCCTGAGTGCTATAGGCTATAAAACATCACGCTACGATCAAATGGAGCTGAGCAGCGGGTGAAACCGGGCGAGAGAAGCTAGTTGTAAATAAAAAACATTATTTTTTAATTTGTTTTTATTGTAATAATATTAAGTTATACAGTAGGTACTTAATCAATTAAGTCCATTTTATCGTTACGAGTTGCAGAAACTTATAAGCTAAACCTCAATTTAATATTTATCTCCTTGAACTTAATAGTGAGTTGTAATCTATAATCTCCACTATAATTACATTTGAATTATAATAGAGAGATATATTTAGGTGCATTGTTTATTTTGATTAGGTAGTGATTGTGAAAAACGACTGACAAAATTAGTAAGGGGATGATGAACAATGAATGAAATGAATGGTGAATGTGTATTACACATTCACATACACATTGTGTAATGGGAAATTAGGAATGTTGTGCAACCAATGTATGATAAATAGTGAATGGTTAATGGTGATTGACGAACGATGATTGGGGTATGATAAATGATGAATGAAGGATGGGGGATGGTGAATGAGATGATGGTGAGTGATGTATGATGGATGTTGAATGATGCATGAGATGGACGGTGACTGATAAATGAAGAATGGGGGATGGTGAATTATGCATGAGATGGATGGTTACTGATAAATGAAGAATGGGGGATAGTGAATGATGCATGAAAGGATGGTGACTGATAAATGAAGAATGGGGGATGGTGAATGATGCATGAGATGGTTGGTAAATGATGAATCATGGGGGATGTTGAATGATACATAAGATGGATAGTGAATGATGCACGAGATTGATGGTGAGTGATGAATGAAGAATGGGGGATGGTGAATGATGCATGAGATTGAATGTGAGTGATGAATGAAGGATGGGGGATGGTGAATTATGCATAAGATGGATAGTGTGTGATGAATGATGGGGGATGATGAATAATGATGATAAATGAGATAGATGATGACTGATGAATGGTGAACGAAGAATGGGGGGTGATATTCATACACGAGTAGGATGGCGAGTGATAAATGAAGGATGGGGTATGATGAATGATACATAAGATGGATGTGAGTGATGAATGATAGGGAATGATGATGATGAATGATAAATGAGATATATTGTGAGTGATGAATGATAGGAGATCTTGAATAGTAAATGATAAGGATGGCGAGTGATAAACGAAGGATGGGGGATGATGAAAGATACGTAAGATGGATGGTGAGTGACGAATGATAGGGGATGATGATGATGATGAATGATAGGGGATGATTATGATGAATGGTAAATGAGATAGATGATGCCTGATGAATGGTGAATAAAGAATGGGTGATGATGAATAATAAATGATATGGATGATGTGCGATGAATGATGAATAACTAATGAGAGAGTGTCTGTTAATGGGTAAAGGTGATTGGTGGTCAATCATTGGTGATAGGTGAATATTATGAATGACCTTTGATGGAAAAATGATGGTGAATGACGAATGTTGAAATGGTAATGGATAGTAGTGATTGGTGATAGATGGATGAGATGATGATTGATTAATGAAGGATGATAAATGACGAATGGCGATGCTTTATCAACGGTTGTTAGTTATAAAAGTGATTGGTGAAAGACAAATGGTGGATGATAAACGTTTGGTGATAAGTCATAGTGATTGGGCGTAGAGTGGCTAGTGATTGTGATAAATAAGGGAATGATGAATGATGAAAGAGTGATGACAGAAAGAAAACCAGCATGCGAATACACACAACAACAGAAGAGCTATAAGAACGTTGCTGGCTTTTTGAGAGTTAAGGGATTTGAGGATTAAGGGATATAAAGGATTGGAGATGGGGAGGGGATGATTGGGCCTCCGGTAACCTCACTCACTCGGCGAAACACACAGAAAGGCTGTGTCCACCTGATTTCCTGTGAGGCCGTGGTATCACTCCGGTCGAGCCGGCCCATTCGTGCCGAAGCATGGCTCTCCCACACTTAAAATTTCAAGTCGATGATGAGATCTTAAAAGTTGATGATTTTTGGCTAATGAAGAATGAAAAGTGAATGAATATAATTAAAATGGTAAAAATGCCATTTCTTGTTCTATTATTAGTTTTATAATAGGAGCTATGTCAGTTTAAAAATAACTTAGTATTAACAAGGAGTTTCTTGTGCTATGGCTATTCATAATGGTGTTTCTTCAGTATATTTATCTGCTTCTTCATATGATGTGAAGCCCCTCTTCCAATGTGCTGATACGAAGTTGCTACACAGTGCTATCAAGCCAGCTAGAACAGAAACAAAAAGGTTTATAAGCCTCTTTTTTAATGTATTAAAAAGAGTAACGATGGAGTTTCTTGCTCGTTCTTCTCCATTCGAATCTACTCTTTGGAACGAGCACCTAGCTTCACTGAAGAACTGACTGATAGGCTGTTATTCTATTTTGATGTTTCGAAAGAACCTGTTTTCACTGTTTTTATGCTTAAGTCGGAGTTTAGTCTAGTTAAAGAGGGTCTAGGGCGGAGATCATCTTTGCCTTAATTCTTCTTTTTTAAATATCTTAATTTTTTTTGCTTTATATAGGTACGGAGCGTCATATTTGTAATTGCAAATAAGCTCTTTTAAATAAATATTGAAAAAAAATGTCGGAGTAAATGATTTTGCCTTTGACTTAGTACAAATTTGGTCATTCAAAGAATTTTATATCTTAGTAAAATGAAATGAATTAGTAAGCATATTTGAAATATCAAAGTTGAATTCTGTTTTGGAAGGAAACGGGCGAAAAACAACATCGTTACGTCTCAACCTTTCGATTGGGGTAATTCGAGACAACAGTAGAACTATAGGTGCGCAAATGCCGACGCTCGCTTGGGATTTGTAGAGTTAAAAAATCTTGGTATTTAGTGGTAGTAGGGTTATATACCAAATAAACTTAACAATATAAAAAGTGATAAATAATTCTCCTTTTAAATTAAAGTATTTTTGTTAAATAGGTTAGTTGCGATTCGGTTATTCAAATTCCACACTATGTTCGAAATATCAAATTTAGAACGTATTAAAATTGAAACAAAAATGTTCTCTATGAATTTTGACTTGGACATTGACTTTAAGGTAGGTTGAAGTCAAAATAATTTATTGTAATTAGAACCTTACAGGCATTTTGAACGTCTAACCAATCTTAAGGATAAAGTTTCAGTCTGTCAGTCCTCTTAGGGCCGATTTTAAAATGATTAGATAAAAGTGTTCGACGGAATAATATTATGATGCGGTCGCGTCACAATATTTTTAAGTGAACAGTGAGTGACAGCAGCAATTTTATTCCACAGAAAACATTCATCTGACGAATGAAAAGTCAGCCCTTAGCGAAGCTATTTAATTTTGCTCGTTCCAAAATCGAAAAGAACGAACTACAAAATTTACTTTTTTTATTTATTTCTTTTGAATGATTTAAAAAGCGAATATTAATGATTTTAAAATATAAGCATTTTAATGCTTTAAAAATTAGTTTTTTTTTCTGATGAAACTACCCAACTTCGGCTGTAAGTCGAACCAGGCTCGCACGTGTTATTTTTTTCAAATACTACCTGACATTACCGTTTTAAAAAAAATGATTTGTTTTTTTTTGAGAACGTCTCCAGAAAAAGACGACGGAACAACAAAATACTATAGTAATTTTGCACTAGTGAAACATTTTCATTCAGTTTTTAGTTATCATTGTTCGTTTTATCTGTATTAAATTACCTACTTATTAAAAATAATTCGTTAAAATATAGCTAGTAATGCGGTCTCTACATCTGCTAATCTTAACGGTCTAAGGGTCTAAGTAATTCAATGATAAAATGTTTTTTCTTCCAATCCCTGAATCAGTTTAGGTTTTTGAGAGAATCTAAATTGAGCATTAAGATTGATTTTGGCGGTTAATGAAATAATATTATTGGACGTATCTACATCAATATCGACAAAAAATGGCACGATGACACTTGAAGATTTTCAACTCAATTTCAAAAAGCTTAAGGTCCATAACCGTTTATATTAACAAATCCACGAATATTGGGTCTTGTATGAACAACAAAAAAAAAATACACACACATTTGGCACATTTGGAGAAAATAACACAAGCCATAGAGTATTTAGAAACTGGCGATCACGGGCATTCACAAGGCGGTCACAATTCGTTATATTCAAATTAAGAATTTGTCTTCGAGCTTTAAAAGGTAATAAGTATGCAGTAATCATAAATCGAGAAAAAAAATATGTTTAAATAGAGAAAAATAACTAGATGAACATTCAAAGTGAAAATTGTAAAAGACCTCTTTTAAAAAACTATAATTACTTACATCAATAGTATGGTTTCAAAATTTTAAAGTAAGTCAAGTTAAAAATATAAAGTTCACTTACCGTCCATGCTGGATAAAATGGTGCAAACGACCACAATGGACAACATTAATACTGTGCAAGACCTCATCTTGTGCTCAACGCGTCTTTACTACCGAGTGGCTAAAACACTACTGAGGCTTACGCCGAGAGCACAACAGACTACGTAGTCGAAAACTACCATAATACAGGGTAGTTTTGACAGTTACATTTTTTTTTTAGGGATTGTTACTTACCTGAATAAACAATTGCTTTTTACGTACTTTCGTTTTTGTATAGCTTTGTGTAAAAGGAAATGAAAGGACAAAGGATTGCCATTGATAATTTTTTTTTAGTTATTTGAACGAATTATTTATTAGGTAAATCGTGGTAATTTTGAGCTGGCGAGAGTCCATTGCTGTACCTACTGGAGTTTGTCAGTACCTAGAACACAGGTATCCCGATCCAGCCGGGGTTGCAGATCAAGCGCAATAATATAGCGCGGCTTTGGCCTGCAGCAGGAGAAAAAATCTCTAGTATCGGAGAGCCACGAATGGGTCGTCACGAATGGGTCGGCTCGACCGGAGTAATACCATGGTCTTCGAGAAAGCCGGTGTAAAACAACCGGAGGCCCAATCTCCCCCTATCCCTTCTCAATCCTTAAATATCGTTTGCCAACATGTAAAAAAGGAACGGGGTGGTTTTTAGTCAGTAAGAGTCTGACACTCTCTCTCGCCCCTTCTAGGGCGGGACCAGTCACAGGCGTCTTAGTTCAGACACCTAGTACTTATTGAAAACTTAAAATTAGCTTTATGTAAAACTGTATACACGTTTGTTCAGTAGAACTTTAACAATAATTTTTATTGTAATCAATATTTGAGTTTATTTCTTTTGAATTCATCGTGAAGAACCTAGATTTAAGGATGATTTTACACTGGTTAGATATAAGTTACCTGGAGAATAATTATGATGCTGTCGCGTCAGAATGTTTGTATAAGACAGAGACAGCAACAATTTTATTCCTCAGATAACATTTATCTGACTATTAAAAAATCAGTCCTTAATGTTTAGTTTATTAGTTAATTTTAAATATCGAGCGTTTTTTCTGGCGCCAAACTTACTGTCATCAACAGTTTTTTATGGTTGTAAAAAAACTTTATTTTTAAGAACAAAACAAAAAGGATATTATAAGCAAGTAATCTTACAGATAAATAAACACTTCGTAACGAATATTGGACAAATAAATCCCGCCGTTTCCGAGTTTAAGCTCAACAAATGAACAAAAAGAAGTAGATTATGCTGACCCCGACTTGGCACGTGTTATTTTTCCCGGTAAATTCCAAATACCAAAAAGATTTTTTAGATTTATTTTTAATTTTTATCTATAATCTTTTGTACAAAAAAATCATAATAAAGTCGACAGAAGTAAAATAGTAGGAACATTATTATGGTACAAGTGTGTATGTTGGTGACGCATTGACTTAAGAAGCCGAAGACAAATTATATAGGTACTTATTAATGCCCGCAATCCCGGCCGAACATTAGCCCTATAGGGCCCCGTCTGTGGTGGTTTATTGGTTCTTTATGGTGCGCGCGGAACGCTACGCGCCGTACGCTCGGGTCTGGTTCTGGTCGGGCGGGCGGCGCGAGCTAATCTTACTCGCTGTCCGCAGACGCCCGGAGAGTCGCCAACTGCTGTAGTGTGTAGTTGATTTGATATGTAACAGAACATAATTGTCGTCCAAGCAAGAATATTATAACAGTGCAGACTTCAGTACTGCAGTTATTAACTAGCCACGCTACAGAGCGGACGTGTCTCCCACAAGATGGCGCGCACAGTATTGCTCCTGCTCATTGTGGCGCTTTGTGCCATCCTATCCTGTGTCGACGGTGAGTGTATACATATGTGTATTTTTTAACCTTTCCCCGCTCTAGGACTTTGTCTTGTGTTGTGTGACTTCTGTGTGCTTTTATAAATATATTTCTATATGTATACACATCTAGTTTCGTCAACATTTTGTTAGTCACACAAAGAGTTACCTAGCTACTGAAACAGACTATGAGACAGTTTAACTTTAACATTATATTACCAACCATAGTATGCGATCTTCAATCTTCAAATTCCCTATCCTTAAATCCCTAATAACTTACAAGAGCCCGGCAACGCACTTTTAGTAACTCCTTTGGTACTACAAGTGTCCATGGGCGGCGCTGATTGCTTACCATCAGGTAATCCGTCTGGTCGTTTAGATACCACAATTACATAAAAAATATATTTAAGATCAGGTTTCTTCACTGTGGTTTTCTTCACCATTATTATTATGTGTGGCTTTTACGAGTTTATTTACACAATTAATTGCTACTCTCGCGCGGTTTCACAAGCTGCTCGGCTCCATTTAATAGTAGCGTGATGTTTTATAGCCTATAGCTATCCGGAATATTGTAGCTATCTATAAGTGAAAGAATTTTTGCAATCCGACCAGTGGTTCTAAAGATTACCCCCTATATACAAACTTACAAATTTTACCTCTTTATAATATTAGTATAGATTAATGAATTAGTTAAGTAGGTACCTACTCCAGATGCGTATATAGGTACCTACTATTACATATTTG